TTTTGAATACATGTTTATATATGATATGATGTATAATGAATATTTAAAATTTGAATATAATCAGTCAAAACAAGTTGGAGATATGGGTCTAGAAGCCCATTCATTAAAACAAAATGGCCACCAGACAACCATTTTGAATCCAATCTGAAAAATAAATGATGTGCACCAGGAACCTGTAATGATTAATATATGTACCAAGTTTGAACGAAATCCATCCATAAATGCTTGATATTTGATGATTTTTTAGCACAAAAATGGCCACCATTTGGCCATTTTGAATAGGATCGTCAAACCAATATATCTGTCTATCAATGACATGATGTATATTGAAAATTTAAAATTTGAACATAATCAGTGAAAGCAAGTCAGAGTTATGGCACGAGAACCACATTCATTAAAACAAAATGGCCGCCAGTCGGCCATTTTGAATCTTATCTGAAAAACAAAATTATTTGCATTAAGGTCCCATAATGTCTAATGTATATACCAAGTTTAAAACAAAATCCATCTGTAAACAGCCGAGAAATGCTTGATTTTGATTATTTTTAGCACAAAAATGGCCGCCATTCGGCCATCTTGAATCAGATCGTGAAACAAATTGATGTGCATATGTATAATATCATGTATGATGGATGTATGTGCGAAGGTTTATTGTGATTGGTCCAGGAAGTTCTAAGATACAGGTCCAGACAGACGCATGCACACACGCACGCACGGACACACGGAGGTCAAAACATAAGTCCCCGTTTTTGGACTGCGTTCAAAGGGGACTAATAATGACAACAAAGTTGAAACTAATATTTTAAATACAATGTGAATTTATTATTTAAGAGAGATGAAAGTCACGTTACATAAGCAGTATTATATTAGACAGTGTGGAATATAGTATAGAATTTAAACATGGAGTAAATGCTTGTGTGTCTCTATTTTTCTTTTGGTATATCACTATTATTGGTGTTTTCTGTATGTACTTTTTCAGTGAACGATGGTAAATCAATATCATACATCACACGTACTGCATCTCCTGTAACGTTGATTAGACACTGGCACTGATAAAATACAAACGAAAGAAGTCATTGTCAAGACATAGTCCCATTAAACTTAATTGGTCTAGGCATCTATGAGATATGGCTCTATGGAACTGTATTCAAATAATATAGCTGGAATATAAACATGTCAGGAATATGATTATGATGATTGTTTAACATTTAAATGATTGACATTTGTATCTGATCGTCAAACAAGTATTGAGAGATATTGCTCTGGAACAGCATTGATTAAAACAAAATCAGCCATTTTGAATACATGTTTATATATGATATGATGTATAATGAATGTATAAAATTTGAACAAGTCAGTCAAAGCATGTCAGAGATATGGCTATAGAAGCCCATTCATTAAAAGAAAATGGCCACTAGTCAGCCATTCTGAATCCGATCTAAAAAATAAAACAACGAGCATCAGGAACCTGTAATGTCTAAAGTATGTACAAAGTTTGAACAAAATCCATCCATAAATGCCAGAAATGATAGATATTTGATGATTTTTTAGCACAAAAATGGCCACCATTCGGCCATTTTTATTAGGATCGTCAAACCAATATATCTATATATCTATGACATGATGTATAATGAATATTTCAAATTTGAACATAATCAGTCACAGCAAGTCAGAGATACGGCACTAGAACCACATTTATTAAAACAAAATGGCCACCAGTCGGCCATTTTGAATCTTATCTGAAAAACAAAATGATGTGCATCAAGGTCCTATAATGTCCAACGTATATACTAAGTTTGAACAAAATCCATCTGTAAACAGTCGAGAAATGCTTGATTTTGATGATTTTTAGAACAAAAATGGCCGCCATTCAGCCAACTTGAATCAGATCATAAAACAAATTGATGTGCATATGTATAATATCATGTATGATGTATGTGTGAAGTTTTATTGTGATTGGTCAAGGCACGCACGGACGCACGGACTCACAGAGGTCAAAACATAAGACTGCGTTCGAACGGGGACTAATAAAGATGTTGACCACCAGTTAGCCATTTTGGATTTGATGATGAAAAAATTGCATGTGAATGGTGATGATGAAAATGTGTGATTTTGATTTTTGTTTGGCATTCTGTCATCTTGAATCGGAATATGTCAGATATAATGTTTGGTGTATGTGTGAAGTTTGAACCAAGCATGTGAGAAATACAGATGGACACTGACTGGCGGGATGTTCAACTCTTATTTGGTCACTTTTGGTAAATTATAAAAATTTTGACTTTTTCTTAAAAACTACTATCCCATTTTTTTTGACAGATACCTTGCAAGATTTGTTACAATTACATTAAGATATCAGCAGTATTTTGTTGTCACAGCATTTACTCTACAAACTGTCATATATAGTTTGTTAACAAAAATGAACAAGTGACCTAACAAAGATGCATACTAATCATTTTGACAGGATGTACATACAGACCTAAATTTTCATCAGATTCACCTTCAGTTATGTATATGTAATTTTTTGAAACAAAAACAATAATAATGACTACATTAATAAGACAACACTATGCATAAATAACAATGGCAACTAGTCCTGCAAACTTAGGCAGAGGGTTCTGAACCCGCCTATTCAAATAGTTCATACCCACCATAGACTCCGGTCAGTCAAAATGACTATTTTGAACTGTAGGCATTTATCAGTGATTCTGCCAATGACGAAGAGATAAATCTAGGTCAGGAAAAGCCCCATGACCCCACGATTTTTTTCCCCTTATGTCACGAACCATGTGACTGAGGTAATGTGGCAACGCCACCTCACCTTGACCTTCACTCTCCGCACCGAGGACTAGACCAATGCTACGGAAAGTGTGGGGTTGTTGGGGGGGACTCTGAGTCTATGGTGGGTATGAACTATGTGAATAGATGGGTTCCGAAAACCCTCTGCCTAAATTCGCTATGTTCAATTACCCACCACAGACTCCGGTCAGTCTAAATGACTATTTTGAACTGTAGGCAGAGTCAGACGCCGATAGGTGGCAGGTTTTTAAAGCAAACAGAAAATGGTGAAAGTCTTTTTTTTCCCAGTCTGGGATGATAACCTCTACAACTACCACTCATCACCTAGCTGAGACCACAAAAGAGGGTGGTGTCTTACCTTGCCTGTGCTGTCCCTGGAGCAAAAAGCCAAAAATGCTGCTACGGTGACAGGGTTCAGTGTGCCTGAGAAAGCTAGACCCCAACCCAATTCAGGGGTAGTATGCTTTCCAAGTAAAGACCGAAACAGTTCTGCATGAGGACATAGGCCGAAAAGCAAGACCTGGAAACTTTCAAGGAGTGCTGATGGTAGAGAAATCTGTCTAAAAAGAAGCTGAGACCGACTTATTGCCTATGCGCAGGGACCCTTGTGGTCGTTCTGACCCGCTACGACGGGATCCAACCTAACAAGGCCCTCCTCAATAAATTAGGTATCTCTTAGATAGTAGTTGATAAAGACGTTTGCATTCTCCAGAAGCCTGCCCTCAGTATACATTGTATGTTCGAGGGGGCGCCTGGCACTAGCGCCAGTGAGTTAGCAATTGCACGGCCCTCATGTGCTCGTACTTGGTGTCTCTGCAAGCTCTGTGTCGAGGAAGTTAAAGTATTATAGACCTCTAATACAGTTGCAGTAATCCACCTGGCGATGGAAGTCGAGGAGGCCAGCCTATCCTGCCTGCCGGGGTCGTAACACAAAAACATGTGCTTGGTACCCGTCTCAAATCCCTAGTACGTTTTTGTAGCAACTCAGTGCAGAGAAGCAATTCCTCCTGATCCTCCGGGCCGAAAATATTTGATAGCCGGGGGATGACGATCGTCTGAGGATCACGTCCTGGGATTTGGTTCTTGGCGAGAAACCCAATTGGTGTCTTTAGCACAACTTGATTGTCCATAAGGGTGGCCGACTCGTTTAAGAAGGACAATGCCCCCAGTTCTGACCAACGCCTACCTGAGACGAGGGTAGTAGGAAGACTGTTTTCCACGTCAAAGATTTGAGTGGTGCTGATCAGAGAGGTTCAAAGGGCAGTCTGCTTAGAGAGAACACAACCGACAAATCCAAGTTGGGTGGTTCCCTTGTTCAGGGTCTCGGCCTCTGATTATGGAAAGCAGTAAACAGTCTCCTAATAATAGGACAATCGGCTAGTCTTGTTCCCAAAACGTTCTCAATGGAGGGGGACAAGGCCGACCTGTAGCCAACGAGCGCTGCTTAGGACAAACCCACTTTGTCAAACAAGTGAACGAAGGAGTCTGCTACCTGGCCAATAGAGGGATGGCATGGATCGATCTCCCTTTCGCTACACCAATCAGTGTATGCTCGCAGCCTAGAATTGTAGGCAGTGTTGGTGGGATCCCTGTTCGCCCTGGCCAGGATGTTGGCAGCCCGCTCAGACAAGACTTTCCTCGGTATGAGTACACTGACAGCCTCTATGCGTGTAAAAGATACACCGCTGGGCTCATTGGTAGTGCACCGTCCAGTTGGGACAGCAGGTCTGGTATGTCTGGAAGCACTACTGGTGTTTTGACTAGTATTTCCAACAGAAGTGGAAACTAGGCCTCAAGGGTAAATTCCTGAGTCTGGTACCACACGACGAAAGTAGGGGGAAGCGCAACATGTGCCCTGGCCTGAAAGCCCTGTCCCGAAATCGGAGGCTTGGTTGCCAACATTTCCCACTGGGCAAAATCGTTGAAATACGATTGTATACATAGATATACATTTTGCGTATATTCACGGTATATGTTCAGTATACGCAGATATGATTACGCATACAAATCGTGGAATATACGTACATATGCACTACGTATTTTGGCGGTTTCTTTCACCCAAGCCTGCTTTGGGTGGCACGCAGCGTATAAGTACGTATTTTACATGCATTCTTGTAGTACAATTAACGTTGTTTTACAAAGTCTGTATATTTACGCATACGTGGAGAATACTGTGCACATGGAGTTGTCCGGTTTTATTTGGGATCACCTGTGAGTAGCGATTGCGGCCGTCAGTACTTAAATAAATAATTACCGGAACTGTCGAATCGCACGGCATCAAGATTCGATCTAAAAACGTCTCCTGTGTTGCCAAATACATGTAATTGAGAAATGGCGGTGTACAGGTACAATTTAGAAACGATTGTTACTAATTTCTAAAAAAAGCAAGTCATTGAAAATGACACAGTCCCTGTTAAATTTTTTAAAGTTCTCTTTGTGCTCGTCATATTAAAGTGGAGGGGTTGTCACGAGCTATCCTTGAAGCTTGAGTTCCAAGTGGCGTATATACAACAGATTGCTTATTTACATCAAAACACGTGTTCCGTGTAGTAGTAATATGTAATATGGCCAAAAATAAAAACAGCCGTTATTAGGCCATCTTTGATCTGATTATGAAACACACTGATAAGTATGATGTATGTGCCAAATACGAATGAAAATGATACATAAATTGTGGAAATATAATAGTAGTAAGGCCAAAAAGTCAGATGGCTGTCAATCGGCCATCCTTGACCAGATTTTGAAACAAATTGTCATGGACATGCATCCTAACATGTATAAAAAGTACATGTATGTGCCAAATTTGAATGAAAACTGACAGAGCACGTCCAAGATACCACATAAAAAAAAACAAGATGCCTGCCAGTCGACTATCTTTGATCCAATTGCGAAATAAATTGCCATGAACATGTATCATAACATGTTTGAATGACAACTGACAAAGCATGTCCAAAATATAACATTTTTAAAAAACAAGATGGCTGCCAGTCGGCCATCTTTGATCTAATTGTGAAATATATTGTCATGGACATGTATCCTAACATGTACAATCTATGTACCAAGTTTGAATGAAAACTGACGAAGCATGTCCAAAATACAACATTTTCAAAAAACAAGATGGCTGCCAGTCGGCCATTTTGAATCGAATCTCTAAACCACTGCATGTGCATATGTCCCACATAAATTACTAGGCACATGCAAAGAATGAACGGAATCGGTCCAAGGGATTCTGAGATATGACTCTGGATAGATGCATACCCGTTAATATTGGCTGATCGGTTCCGGCACGAATGGCATTTTGGTAAAAATAGCCACTAAGTCCATACCAAGAATATAAATTGAATTCTCACAGAGACACATGTAACAAAATTGATCGAATTTGCCGTCATCGTCATTTCTAGGGATTGTTTGATCATGGAGTTTCATTTCTATTCCATTTACCACTGTACGCTGCGTTATTTTCAGAGTACGATCTATATCACAACAGGCAATGCTAAACATAGAAATTTCATTTCAAACTATTGATATTTCTGGCTAGTACTCTTTGCAGAGACGTTTCAGATTTGCAAACACAATTCTCATTTTCTTCGTTGAACCATAGACAGTCTATGGTTGAACCTGCTATGTGGTACTTGGAGTGTCTCACAATTCTTTGTGCGAAGTTTTGCGGGCGTCCGTAGAACACTGTTCAAAATATTGAGGCCGCAATACACTGGTTGGACGTTATCATTATGGGCTGAGTTGGAACCGTCGTTTTGATAGTCACTAACAAATCAAAATGAAACACTATGTTTAGTACGTACAGAATAGTAAAATAACAAATATCTGTATTACTGGTGGAAATAAAATAATAATCTAACGTGATAAAACTGTGAAATGACGAATTTCGCAATCGCATATTTCACACCCCTACTAACAAAATGCTATACGCTAACGTGACTTTTAACCACTGAAGTGACAAGCCCTTTTGAAATCAATTACGTAATTGTTACATTAATCCAGGAACAAGATGTCCCATTTCCATCATAGTTGTAGATTAACTGACGTTCAGGCTGACCTCAATACCCATCTCATCTTCACCAAGTAAATGTTTATTTTGAAGTTTTCATAGATCTCACCCACATCAAGCACCTCGGATCACCAAAATATGTGATGTTTAGTTACATCAGTAATCATTTGCGCAATGAAGTCATGGCTACATCAAAACAGACAGAAGAAAGCATGCTATTATAGAAACCGAAACCAAGTCACCACAAGAAAATAATATCAACTCTTTTAGAAGTTCTGAAAATTAGTGTGCCCAGATTGACCCTGCAGTATTTGTAAGTTGTGTAGCTTATCTGGCTGCGCATAGAAAAGTCATTGTTCAATTTTCCACACTTAGTTCATACAGAGAGCTGTAAATTACAGCTCCCTGGTTCATACCATTTCATTGTAACTATTATAACTGGTATTCAGTGGATCTATTTTGATTATAGCCTGTAAATTGCTATATACGCAATCTTATTTTATGTGTCAGAAAAAACGTAAGTATGTGAAAGTCAAATATTGACACCGATCTAAATAATTTACCTCTTCCCCCAAATTACTAGTAATTCAAGTTGGCCTCGTGATGCCATATGATGCCCGTTGTTCCATGCTTTTGTCTGATCCTTCATTGTTTTCAACTTTTCAAAACTCAAACTAACAAAGGGTTCAGGCTATTCAGCAATTAACCGATACAGGGTAGTGTAAAGTGGGCGTTAGACTTGCATACAGTCTCTTCTTTTATTTTTTTATTAAATAAAATATGGTAGTGTATAAATGGCGAAAGTGGTAACCAACTTTCGCGGTAACCCGGCTCTCGCTGATTACACGCTCCCACTACCAACGAAGGAGCTACAACGCGATCCTCGAAACGTTCCCTGAACCAATCACAAACAAGAACAGACAATGAATTTTTGGATCAACACCTCTGTTTCCCCCACGCTGACTAACTTTCACCCACACTAACGAAAAAATCTTTTGTCTTCTACTGACTTTCTGTTTTTGTCTTTGTCTTTGAGAATGATATTTTATTTTTATTGAAAAAAACACCAAAAACATAAACAAAAGACTGTGAGCAAGTGTAAGAGGATGTAGTCATATGGCACTAATACTTCATACAAACTTGCATTTTAACAACAGTTTTATGTGCATAATATTTGGGGCAAATCACGGGGTATGACCATTGCAGTTAATTCTTTTTCACGCTATCTTATCTATATTTTTTTTATTTTTCTTGAATGTGTCAACATTTGTTCCAGCTTTTTATTCTTGGTGATTGGCTTGCGTTTTCTTCTCAACAAATGTTCCACCCCTATAATTTTAAATATAATATTTGGAAATATACAGAAAAACTTAAAAATACATTAGTTATTACTACAATAGTTAGCACGTTTTGATTTCGAGTAGGGGGTAGGTTTGAATCTCATTGCCCACTGTTGATTCGGTAATACAATGTATATTAAGTAAAAACTGTTCAGGTCACCAAACATTATAATACAACACCTTTTCCTATTCAAATTTGCTTGACAAATCTCAATTAAACTGTTACATATTCTATTTTAGGTACTGTTACCAGAAAATGACAGAGAAAGACGAGAGTGTTTTTATACAGCTTGGAAAAAACAAATAAAGAACCAAGGAGGAGATGAGTAAGTGTTAATTTATAGTTTTTATAATTTTGAATTCGTTTTATTCAAGCTTGTTAAAATAGCAGTAATAATAAATATAGTGTTAGTTATAAATAACATTTCTATCATTGCAGCTGACGGAATGTCGGGAAAAGAAGTTAAAGAGGAAGAACAAGAGATGTGGGAGATGGTGACGAAAGTTGTGGACATTATGATGTCAGATGAGGAAGACGGCGAAGAAGATCGGAAAGGAATGTTATTGTGAGGTCTCCGACATTCAGGTCATGGCACTGAACGACTTGATTTTGGATTAAGACAACCGAGTGGCAAGGAGGCAACCGATCCGCATGCTCCAGAAATAAGTAGGACCACCATGTATCTGTCAAACCCCACGTGATTGCCCTAAGTTTTGATGACCAGCGTGATTTTTTTCTGATTCCTACCCAAACCCAAACCCTTTCAATATTTTTAGCTTATAACTGGAATTTTATTAGTCCCCGTTCGGACGCAGTCCGAAAACGGGGACTTATGTTTTGCCCTGTGTGCGTCCGTGCGTCCGTGCGTCCGTGCGTCCGTGATCACCTGTATCTCGAACATGCATGGACCGATTAAGTTCAAACTTCACTCATACATCACACATTATATGGGACATATGCACATGCATTTTTTTCATGATCCGATTAACGATAGCCGAATAGCGGCCATTTTAAGGCCGAAAATGCATCAAAAT